TCTGTAGAGCTGGAGTACACACAAAAATGATAACGGCCACACTCACGCCGACTCTCAAAGCCCGGTATCGTAGAAAACAAAAATAATTGCAAAATAAAAATGTGGTCTTAGTGGCGGCACTACCACTACTAGTCGTAGTAGTAGTAGTAAACAAGCAAATTGACCTGCCAGGTGACTTGCATCCATTCCTCCCCCTCCCTCCCCTCCCCTCTATTATAGCCGGACGTACACGGTCACCCTACCCTGCCCTGCCCTGCCCTTCCCCCTTCCCTTCCCCCATTCCCTTCCCTTCCCCCTTCCCTTCCCTTCCCTTCCCTTCTCTGCCCCTCGTTATTTCCTCTCTCGACCTCGACCTCCCTCTGCGACCACCAGGCGTAAGACAACAGAAAAGAAAATTAAAAAAGTCGGCGTGCAACTGTGCATTAATGGGGGCCACTCCGTTTTTTGTGTATATACATGACAACATCAATGTGGTTTGTGGGCAGTGCAGTATTCCCACTGTTGCCGGCTATCCTCCCTCAAAGCTTTCATTTTCTTCTTCCTTTTTATCCCCCGTATTTTGTATATTTTAGAGGTGTCGTTTTCATTCTTTTGTATCTCCTTGTTTCTCTTCGGCGATTGAAGCACACTTGTTCCCTGTGTGCTTTACGTCTCCTCACCTTCCCCGTCTCCCGCTCCTCCTCCTCCTCCTCTAAATGGAGCTCTTCCCATCCACATACACACATGTGCCTGGCTGCGCTATTGCACTTCCTCGAGGTCGTCGTTGGAATTAGCATTGCGCTTCCTGGCATTCAGCTGTGCCTTCTTCTTCTTGTACTCATCGGTTAGAACCACCGCCTGGTACTCTGCATCAAAGCCGTCAACGTCGCCCTGCACAAAGAGCTCCGTGAGGCGGGGGTACACAATCGTCTTGGCCACCATACGTCCGTCGTTAGGATCTCGCACAATGGTGGTGTCGCCGAGCGGTGACACGTTGCTTTGGTTTGAAAAATTCACCGTGACGTGAAACTCATAGATTTTGGAGTCGTTGTAAAAGGCCCACTGCTTCGTTTTGGTATTCACAAGACGAAAAAGAAGACCATTGTCACGCTCCGTGCACTTGTGTATATTATCGTAGGGGAACGTCTCACTGGGCTGACCATTGAGGAAGCCGTTGTCCGCCCCCTTGGGCTTGCTAGCCACACACCCCATGTCTCTGTCAGTTGATATGTTGTTCGGTTTCCAGCTCTCTTTGCTGCTTGGTCGGCGTTAAGTTGTTTTGGCCTCAATCGTCGCGCGTCAAAGGGACAAACTCCTACGTTTATTTCTATTTGCCTACCTTCCTTCTTTGCCTTTTATACCCCCTCCTTTTGCTCGCTCTTGCCTCGGCCTTGTTGTACCCCCCTTCTATCACTCGCTGCTGCTACTCCTGCTGTAAATGACTTCTCGCGTGCCCGCAAATAAAGTGATAAAGCGAGAAAGAGACAGTCAGTGTGTGTGTGTGTGTGTGTGTGTGTGTGTGTTGCAACCGTGGCAACAGGGCATACAGGGCAATCAAAGCGACAGAGAGACGCAGGCGCCAACCTCACGGCAGCAACGTGCGGCAGTGCACACGCCGTGCAATGGCATTATTGTCAGCAGTGTAGGTGAAAGACAAGGGAGGGAGCGGCACGCACAGTGTGTGAGGCGGGAGGCTCGGGCGATAGTGACATGGAAGTGTGCGGCGGAAACCACAGGAAGAAGGCATTACGCGTGCGTGCATAGATACGTACGTGTGCAGCATCAAACATAAAAGGCGCCACGCGCCACTAAAACAATTTAAAAGCAAATAAATAATGTCCAGAAATGTGTGAGACAAAAGGCGAAAGAAGAAAAACAAAACAAAAAGACCCACTGCGGTATTAGGCGTTGGCAGCCAACCTATACACATCTTTACACATAAAAAAAAAGGCGTGCCTTTCTCGCATATTTCGCATCTTTTTTTTTTTCCTTATTTCTTTCTTTTTTGTTTTTGGTTCTCTCTTCAGTTAGTTGATCATCACGTATCCCAACACCACTGCCGGTTGGTTACAGAACCACCACGCACCCCATATCAAGCATCCACCCTCCCGGCCCTCAATAAGTACCACAGTCTCCTGCGCTCGCAGTCTGGCAGACGCACTTGGGCAGTTGCCGTCAGTGTACCCCCGCTTGCACCCCCTCGTGCACTGCCTGCAGGCCCTGTGTGGCACTGAGAAGCGTAAGAGTGACCTTTTTGACTGCAACATGTTTTCCGGTCCTTATAAAACGTTCACCCCGCGCTTACTTCGGTGTCGACAGCGGCTCATCGCCCCCGGCCTGGCTTTTCCGCACCGTGTTCCGCGGCCTCCACCGCAGGGGTCGCCACAGTAAGAAAGTATATTTAATTCCTGCCCGTAGGAGGCGCCGGAGAAAGCGTGCCGTTCTCGCCAAGCGGCCGCAGCATGTCAGGGTCGTCGTGCCAAAACTTCAAGGTGAGTCCTCCTCCGCCTTCCTCCTGCAGCCCGTCGCCTCCACCGAGGTGGCGCCGCTGCCCATTGTTGCCGCCGCTGCTTCTTCTTGACGTTTGCCTTCCATCGTGAAGCTAAAAAAAAAAAGGAAGACAAGTCGCAGCAGCAGTGACGAGAAGGGGGGAGGAATTGGGTAGCGCGCCACATATGCGGCGCAGGCCGATGCTGGGCGGCAATAAAAAAAGCGGCGACGGCACACACACACACACACACGCATGAGCACGCCAAGTGAACAGGCGGATGAGGTGGAGAGACAGTCGGTTATCAACAAAAAAAAAAAAACGCCCTAACGACGTCAAGGGGGCGCCGACCGAAGTACGCGCAGCGGCGAAGAACATGAAAGGAAACACCAAGACAGGGACAACTACTTCGTGCAATACATACAGATGTGCATTATACATGCATGAAGGCTAATGTTCCCAGTCAAAAAAAAAAAAAAAACTCACTCACAAGCATCCTTGTCATCTACGTCCAGAAACGGGGCAAAAAGCAGCGAACCCGCATTCCTCCCTTCTTCAGCACAGATATACGGTTCCTTTTATTTGTTCTTTTCCTCTCTCGCTCACCCTCGCGCAACCCCACCCCCACCCCCACCCCCACCCCCCAACAACCACAAACATAGGAAGAAAGCCCAAACTCACACCACCGCCATCACCATCACATTATTTCCCTGCCATCCGCACGTGTATGCAATCGCCCCGAGAAAAAAAAAATACGGGCACAAAAGACACCTCACACAAATAAACACACGCACAGGGAC